TGTGGAGCAACTGGTGGTTTTGAACTGCTGACCTTGCAGCTAGCAGCCCAACTTGTGACCACTACATCACCAGGTGTATCAGAGAATATAAATCCCAAACATACTGTTCCTACTAGGTTTGGGGACAAAGTAAAAATGAAAATGACCTTGATGAAAGAGACCAAAGTGGCTTCCAGGAACAGAATCAAGCTCCAGTAGGCTGGAGGTTCCCACCTGGTCGGACTGTGTTTGCATACAACTGCCTGGACTGGGTGTGTGTCCAGAGAGCGCTCCGCTTGGCAGGAAGTTGATGCCTGTTGTCTTGCTCAGTGACTCTGATTGTAAATTAATAAAGTCACGTGTCCCTTACTGAGTTGGTCTTCTGTGAGCTTTGGGCCACCTCGGGAGCTCTGACAGCACTAACTGGGCCTTCTGCCTGGAAGCCTACATAAGCAAACACAGGGAGCCCCATGCCACCAAAGCCCAGGTCCTACTGCCCAGAGCCACCTGGAGCACTGTTTCATGAACAAATATACGAGCGCCGTGAAGTCCTCCTCACCATTTTGCAAGGGAGGAAGCTGAGGTTCCTTTGGCTGGAATTGGAGCCTAGGTCTGTCTCCCATTGGAGGGAAGAGGGGCTGCAGAGATTAGCAGAGTGGCGTTTCCCAGCCCAGATTCCCAGCAAGGGGCTCCTCTCTGGCCCTGCAGCTTCAAGTAGCAGGACCTAGGCCTTACCCAGCTGTGCCCACAGTCCCTAGCGGCTGCTCCAAAGGGAATGGAATTCGCTCTGACTTCTCTCTAGGGGGAAACGCAGGCGCAGAAGGCCAGGGGCCCGGCCGAGCTAACTCCAGCCCCAGCCTCAGCCCCCCAAGTGCCCCAAGCCTCTTGGCCTCATTCCAGCTTAGCCTGGGGCGGGGGGACGACATCTGCTTCCTCCAGGGGCCCCAGCTGGAGGGCAGAGAGGCAGGGCGAGGGAGGGGGGCGCCTTTGTGGAACCCACTCCCAGGGGTTCGTGGGGATCAATCATCTGAAAACTGAAGAGACTTGTAATTTTATTCCCTGGGAGGTGG